CTTGGTACAGCCAAGGGGCCCTTAACTGCCAAACTCTCTGCTCCAAGGCCAAGGACTACCGAGCAAGGCGGGGGGGCAGGGATGCACCATCACAGGGTGTTGAACAGAAGTTGTTTCTTGCTGACTGACTTTCGGCAATTGAAGATTATTTTTATGAGAGTTGGAATCTCACTGTTTCTGGTAGTGTAACATTATCACAAGACACTGTCATTTTCACAGGCCTCTGAGAGTCTTCTCAAAGTGAATCTTTTTACTGCTGATTTAAACTTAAGATTTTTCTGGAGAGGGAATTTAGCTGAAGACAAAGTGAAAATTACAAAAAGAAGTTAGTTTCACATCTGACTTCTCCAAAAGCTGATGATTCTGTGCAAAATAAATGTAGATCAAAACCAAAATATCGAAAGCTGTGAGCCTGGAAGTGTTCGCCTGCTGGGTCAGTAAATTACTTGAGGAGAAAACAATTTTCTGCAGTGTTAAGGCCCAGCAATACTGCATAGAAAATGCCATAACTGTCCCATTTTTGTGTTCACATTTTTCAAGTGCTTGGGAAAAATTAAAGGTCAAAAAAGTTGGAAATAAGGTGCCAGTAATGTTATCATATGGTTCTGATCATAGTCCCAATTTATATGCCACTACAGTTCACAAGAATGTAAGTTGAAGAGTTTGCTTCTCTTTGTCCTCGTCTCACAGTTTTCCTAAGTATTGCATTGTTTTTCTCATTTTTATTAGCCAAGAAAATTCCCAGACTTTTATTATTAAATTTCATACAATATGCAAATATTGTGATGTGGATGTCTGGTAGCATTTTTATCAGCTTTGAAGTCTCCACAGAAAAAGCCTTGAATAATTCTGAGAACAATAAGATAACATTCTGTATTGCATGTTTGACCAGCCTCAGAAATGTAAGCTGTTGGCTAAAAGCATTAAATATGAAAACAGTCAGCTGTCTGCTCTTTTCTGTGTCTCATTAAGGTCTAAGCTGTTTAAATTGGGAGGTGGGGAGGAAACAGTTAACTACGCACAGTTGAAACCCTTCAAAGAACCTCTGTATTTGCTCTCAGTTAGTATCTTAGGCCATGACTTTCACAACTAACATTTTATTAGCTCTTCTGAGTTTGTGTGTTAATTAAACCATTGAGCTATGTTTCTACCAAGTGGATAACCACTTTTTTGGAGCCCCTAATGGTTCTACAGGGATTAATTATATGCTGATGTAATTCTTTTTTCCCCAGTCCGCTGTTGCTGCCAATATATTGATATGTCCAGGATGTATTAGCTGTATCCATAATTGAATTTAGCAGTATTTTCAGTAGTTAAATGCTAATGATGAGGTTCATTGATTGTTCTTCTGGTTTTGATTCTTCTGAATAAAATTGATGAGGCTGACAGAGACAAGCCTAGTTTTGTAAATCTTGAGGAATTAGGTGAACAGCAGCCAGCGAGGCTGGCTGTGCAAGGAAATCTGCAGTTTGGTTCCTCAGTTGTGATAACTAGTCTTGTTGTCATGGTAGTGTTGTAATGTGTTCTTCTAAGTGCTGTGCAAATATATATTTTCCATCTAGCAAAAGATAGTCCCAGTCTAGTCACCATTATTTTCTTGCAAGTATTCAGGGGACTTAGGGGCCAAACGTGCCAGAAGAAAATAAAATGGTCCCTGTTAGTTAAAAACTAGGTAAGGTACAGGAATAAGCTCCCAACTTTTCACTGAGTCTTTAAGGGTTCTACACTTAAGACCTGTGTTATTGCAGCATTCATGATTTGTCTAGAAAGGAGGTGAATGATGAAATTTGACTTTGGTGGAAAAGATGGCTAACAGAAGAGCTACAGAAGGACAAGGTGTATAAGGGGGAACTGTATGGGTGATAAAATGGCAGGTGAAATTCAGTATAGATAAATGGAGGGTAACGCATGGCAAAAGCATCTTTGACTGATGCAGTGGTGGGCTCTGAGCTAATTATGATCACTGAGGAATACGATTTTGAGACTATAATTCTATAAAACCATCAGCCCAGTGTGTAGTGTCAAGGGCAAGAAAACAAATCAATTACCTCAATTTGAATTGCATCATTCTGCACACTTTTTAAAATGTGGCATCATTCTGCAGCTCCAAATCTGTAGTGCAGACAACATCTTGAAAACTGTTCAAGTCTGGTTGTGGTTTGGTTTTTGTTTTGGTTTGGTTTTATTTTTAATGCAAAGCTTTAGGAAATACATAAGAAATTACAGTTACCATACAAGTATTGATAACGGCCCATTTGATGTGAGAGGGCTTAGGTTTTGGGGGTTTTTTTGGTTGGTTGGTTTAGTTTTTAAATACTGTGGTACCGTGAGGGAAATGTGGCATAGCTTTCACCTTTCACCTTGTCCCAGATACTGTGTCCCTTCGTAAGATTTTTAGGTAGATACAAGCTCCATTATCATAAACTCTCCATGTCTTGTTTTGCTCAGAAATTTGGAATTTAATACTCCTTGTCCTGTGCTTCTGCAAAATAAAATCATGAAGAAAGATTGTACAATATTTACTGAAGTCTTACTTTGAAATTTTCCTTAAGGAAGAAGAGTCGGACAATGAAGAGAACTTTATTGACCTGAACGTTTTAAAGGCACAAACGTACAGATCGGTAAGTTGTTACTCATCAGTCTTCTCTTGAGAGATTTTTACATCTGTAGCAGCAATTTATTTCTGTTGGATTCAAGTGTGAAAGTCCTGATATAGTCTAAACTTGGAAAAACATTCCAACTGAAACAGAAGCAGCTTATTCTAAAAGAAAAAAATACATCCAGTTTCTGAACTGTTATCACTGCAAGGTTGCTGGAAACATTTGCAAGATACTTTTGCAGAGACTTTTAGGGAAACATGGTATTAGCTTCTTGAATATATTTTGATTTCCATCCCTTGCTCTTTCTGGAATATATTATAATATTATATACATTTTATTCTTTTCAATTCTAAATATGATTATAAGATGTATTTATTTTCATTCCTCGTCTTTATGAATTCAAAGAAAGCCGTTAAAGAAATCTATTGTTATCGGCAGTCTAGATCATTCTGGATATAAATAGTTTTCTGACTATGAACACTGTAACATGATTTCTAACAGTTCTCACTATGGATAATGATGATATTTTGTATACAAACTTTGTGATTTTTATGTAGGACGTGAATGACTCTGCAAAGCAAGAAGAGATTTTACAGTCCACGACAGATGCAGCAGAGTGGAATCTGGAAGTGGAACGTGTGCTTCCACAGCTGAAAGTTACAGTCAGGACTGACAATAAGGTATGTGAGAATGGCTGTGTACACATGGTGATTAAAGTGTGATTTTGGTCAGTGTTGTTTACTTTCCATTTACAACTTTTTTTCTTTTGTCATGCCAACAATTGTGAATAATGGACTCTCCAACGCTATCTTGTTTGAATCTTTGTCACTTGCTTTTAACTCTAGAAGCAATAATTTTCAGTAGGTTTTTTTTTTCCCAATATTATATAAGAATATTTTTTTCTGCTACTTAACAGGGCACCTTATTTCCGTATATTTATTCAGTGGAAACTTCTTAAATTATTAAACATTTCCAGTATATTCATACTTCTGAAAAATTTTACCCTTAGTTTAGCAGCTATTAAAACATCTTCCTGGAAGAGAGCTGAGAAACTTCTTATCTTTCAACTGTTCAATTTATCAACCACAGGAAAGGTTGATTGTGTGGGTCCCCCTGAATACCAGCGTATACCCTCTGCCTGCCTCATACCCAGGCCTGGATCCAGGGCCTACTACTCGATGGCTAGTTTAAAGTCTGCTGTTGAATTTTACACGTGCACAGCAGGTTTAAGGAAGATGCAAACATTTGCCTGTCCCCAGCTCAGCAGCTGGCACCAGCCACACGGGCTTGTGACCTGCAGTCTCACTCCAGCTGCTGGCACTGAGCCCCTCACTTGCTTTACATGCACCAGGCCTTCCCAGGAACTGGATTCTGGGATACGTGCCCATCCTGCCTTGGTGGCCGAGACCCTCACCTGCTCCTGTAGCTACCACTGAGACCCCACTCTCTCTGGCTGCAGACACCACGGATCTGGGACACCTGCAGCCCTGGTCTGATTCCAGTTGCTGGCCCCATATCCCCTTTCACCAGCAGCTGGCACTTAGTCCTTGCAGCACTCATACATGCGTGGGATAGGGTGTGAGATTTCACAGAAAGGTAATTAAAAAAGAATTTAATAAGAAGATAGGACAGACTGCGGTGATCAGGCACAGGGCTCATTCAGACAAGTAGACTGACTGGCAACAGTTTACACATGACCAGACTCTCTTATATCCCTCTCTGTTCCCCACTTTGTTCCTCCCCAGCCCGCTTCCCCTGCATGTTGCTTCATCGGTTTGCATAGTTGCACCAAACCTTGTCTGGAATATCCAGAACCCCCAAGTTTGCATTCTTATCAGTTGCAAGGGGCAGGTTCACTTTCTTTGAAGTGATGCTTGCAGTTTCTTCATAGCCCATCAGTGAGTGTGACTGATAAGCTTTGTTTCTTGTCCTTGTCTCCCTTAGTGTTTGTCTGAGAGGTCTGTGTCTCTGACAGTTTTGGTTTTTTCCCACCCCCTTTTCCTTATCATCCATTTTGACTAGGTTCTCGATCAGATAATTGTGCTAATACAAACATTCTCACACTCCACATGCCCTTATCCATTAGTGTAACTGGCCAGGTTTGTTTTCCTGTTACTGCCTCCATTATTGTTTGCCAGTCAGGTTTGTGCCTCTATGTTTTGCTTTAGTGTCCTTTTGACAAGGCCCTTGATCAGATAATCTTACTGAAGGAAACACTGTCACCTTCCACATATCCTTACAGTACCTATTTTACGAGAAAGTCTCCTAAGGTTTGATTTCAAGTGATAAAGATTTATTAACATCACTTTTTTTATTTAACACCTAAAACAGTACAGTGCCAAAAGCTTAAAAATCTTAAAAGCATTTTTTAGCATGTTCAGAAACACAATACTGAAATAGCAGTAATTCTGCAGTGCTGCTACTCTGCTTCGCTTTGAACTCACAGTCTGTCTGCAGCTGTGCTTTGGGTTTGGGAGATGTAAAAAGTTTGCATTGATAAGGAGAAATTTGTGATAAAGCTTGGGAACTGGAACTGATTTCTAAGTAAAAGATGCTTACCTATCGACTTAAAACAGCACCTTTTCTCATCCCCCATCCCTGAATCCATGGACGTTTCCTACGACCTAGAAGCTGCAAATAATTTTCCCCCTTTTAATTTTGTCCCACTATCAAAAACAAGTTTAGGTATGTCTGCCTCTTTCACTTCTTTCTGTTCTTCTCCTGATAATAGTAAGGGCTAAGTGGAAAGGGGATCTGATAGTCTGGAACTGGTGAGTGTTGAGTATTTGAAGCACTCCTTTTATCTTAAGAATAAGCTGAACTAGTGCAGCTATTATCAATATTTTCAGTATTTGTGCCTAGACTGGTTTCTAGCAGAAATAGTTCCACAGAGATCAAACAGACTCTAAAAGGCATAACTACGGTGGTATCAGTGAGGGAGTCAGTGTTTGTTTATGGATCTGAGTGTCACATGTGACATTTAGGAGATTTATAAATTGGTTCACATTAAGCAAGTGCCTCTGGATATGAACATGGCAGTGGCAGAATGACACACAGTAATAGCATAAAAGAGAACTGACCCTGCCTTGCATACCAGCCTTTGTTTGGTAACCAGAGAAAGGTAAAAGTTGTACTTACCTGTGTTTTACTTTGTGGCATCTTTTTTAGGATTGGAGGATTCATGTAGATCAAATGCATCAGCATAAGGATGGAATTGAATCTTCTTTGAGAGAAACTAGGGTATGTCTTGTATGTGCAGACTATTTCACTGATCTGTCAGCATTTTTATTTTCTCTTTTACTTGATGTACGTTAAGAACGAAATTGATTTTTTTCCCCTTCATTTTATTTGTGCTAATGCTGTAAAACTAAAAAGGGTGATATACAATAATGATGATTAGGGACAGTGGGACTGCCAGAATATCCTGTGGAAAAGAGTTGCATGTGTGAGGATTAAACAGGGATATTAGGGTTCGTTAATGTATGTGTTGTCCCAAAAGTGGGATTGTATACCCAGTGTGCAACACGCCAATACATACAGAGTAGAGGTATTTTATGTATAGCACATTTGTGCAGATATGGGTGCTAAGTGGTATTCCACAAAGCTAGCACACCACACAGAGGAATCGCCACACATCTATCCCCTTATGTGATTAGCAAAAACCGTAGAGAACCCTCCTAAGTTTACATTCATTGGCTACTAATTACCACATTGCTTGTTATGGGTTACACATATTCAAACTGGCGCGCAGGCTCCTCAAAAGGGTAGGGGTCTAATTTGTATTGTCCCTCAATTGAGTCGGTGGTCGCGATCTCCCCCTGCCACCTTTGTGTCTACCCCAGTTACTGGGGATGCTGCTGACCTCATGGCAGTTGCATTTCTCAAGAGTGCAGGAACAGCTAAGTCTTCACGGTTTACTGCTTAAGTACAAATGCTTCTTCATCTTCTTGACCACCAGATCCAGTTTCATTCTGATGTTGTAACCTTTACGGTATTGTTAACTCCTACCCACCTGCATGAGAGCTTTCCCTTTGCCTCAGATACCATGTGGATTACCATAATGCTGATTACAGAGAGCGAAATAGAATAATACAATCTGAAAATAAGTGCTAATAAAAAAAACCCCAAAATACTGTCAAATACTGTTGTTAGACTAACTTACTGACATTGACATTTGTAATTAATTGAGGAGGGGAGAGTGGAATCAGTAAAACTTCAAATACATGGTTTGGAGGTGGGCAAACTAGAACACATTAGGAATAATTTTTCGTTGGCCAAGCACAGCATTTCTGTACTATTTTTCTCTCTCACTTGTAGGCTTCCATACTCTTTCTTCATTACATTTTAATACTCTTTGCATACTATCTGTATACTGTTAACCCACAGAATATTATTTTCCAGGGTTACCTTGACAAACTCCATAATGAAATCAGCAGAACACTGGAAAAGATCAATAGCAGGGAAAAGTACATCAACAATCAGTTGGACCACTTGGTTCAAGAGTACCGTTCAGCACAAGCCTTGCTGAGTGAGGTAATGCACTGATCTTTTGTTGTTGCCTTCTCTAGTATTAAGTTGCTATTAAGTGAGGGCAAAGGCAAAGAAGACTCGGAGGAGTTATCTGTGAATTCTGCTCTTGGATATAAAGCAGGGAAAATGTTGATTGGCTGTCAAATTATATAGTTTTTAAGATAAACTAGCAATTTTCATTCAACTATTCAACATGGGAAAGTAAATTTTTTTTTTTCCTGAATATTACATAAATCTGTCGCCTATCTTCAGCAGCTAGTAAATTGCTAGTTCTGCTTTCCCTGTGAAGTTCACACATCTGTGATGAGTGCAGAAACCACAGTCTCAGTCCAGCACTCATCTCTTCTATTGATTACTCGTCCTAATGTGCACAAAGCACTCTGACTTCTTTACTTCATTTAGTTTTATGCAAGTAGAGTGCTATTTGAGGAGCTTTTTGATCTGCTAGTTAGGAAGCCTGTATAAGCTGCCATTAGGCTAGCCTTCCCATTTGCAGGCATGACATTAAAATATGACTAACAGGATTTGATGTCTGTGCTTTCTCTTTAGCTTACTATTAAACTTCAAGAAACTTTAAGACGATAATTTACTATTGACAAAGAAATATTCTGGGTTTCAGGATTCTGTTCTGTCTGCATTCTGGCAAATTTTCTTTATTTCCTCATGTAAATGATTAGAAAACATAGGTCTTATTGTGTACATATTAGGGCTATTACAATTTTTAAAACTGCTTTAAATTTTTGAATGATAGTCAATACAGGGGCTGAGGTTTCAAGCCTGTCCTCATATGTGTAGCGCTGTAAACGTCATTGGGACTTTGTGGGAGAGTTTCTGGAACTGGGACGTGTGAGAGCAAGTTTTGGTGTTCTCTCTGAGCTATCTGCATACACCTCTTCAGCTTTGTCATTACAGCAAAAAACATGTTTCTTTCCAGGCTAAAGAGAAGTACCAGGAGGGAAGTGGAGGAGTAACTGAGAGGATTAGAGTGCTTTCTGAGGTAAAACACATCTTTGCATAATTTCTTTCGCTTATTTTAAAACAATCTTCATAGACTTGGCATTTAGTGTTTGCTGTTTTATGAACCCAGTTCTTTCTGGGTTATAGATTAATCTATTTGTTTAGTGGAGGCGGTCTAGTCCAGTCCCTAAATTTTAAATACAGGCTGCCATTGATTTTTAACCTGTGAATTTGGACAAACTATTGTGAGCTTTTAATTTCCCTAGTTTGTAAAAGAGGATGGATGTTCTGTATTTTATAACCTGCGTCCTAGAGTTATTGAGGATTAATCAAGTCATGTTGATAAATTGTTTGGGAGAAGAAAAGCTTAGCTCTTATTTTTAGTTAAAATTTAAAATTTGAGATTTTAATCTTCCAAGCACTTAAAAGCAATAGTTGACTAAGTAGTAATTCTTCCATACCAGTCAAATTATCTTAATACCTAAAACTGTTTTTCTGGGTTTGTTTTTTGTTTTTAAATCAGTGCTCTGACAAATTTAAAGAAAAATCCCCAAACGCCTAACTGCCTCAACATGTTGAATGTTTCATGGCATTTCATTTAGAATTACTGCCTGATGTCCAAATTTTTCAACCTTTTGTCCAATGCATAAATTTTTTTTAACAACTCTGGGTTTGAAAAACCCACTTTATTTATTAGATTATAAAGTGTCTGGAATAGTTACATAAAATAGATCACACTATAAGAACATGCTGGAAATTGTAAAACTGGTTTGAGAGTTTTTAGAATAGAATAGAATAATTCAGTTGGAAGGGACCAGAACGATCATCTAGTCCAACTGCAGTAGGTAATAAACACAGCAGTTTAAAAAGAGTTTTCTAGCAAAGATTTCTGAGTGTATGGATTATTCTGCAGAATTAGAGCTGCCTTCTATTTCACTCTCAAGGAAGTAAGTTTAAAAAAGAGAGTACTTTACGATGACTTCAGGTTTATAATGTATTTGTGCTTTGGAAAGTATTGGCTGATTAGTAATGATGAATATGTTACTAGTTGGCAGTCTTCAAACTATGTAGATGCAGTGGTGCATATCTGAGATAAACTAGACACATTGGATATTACTACTGATTTGCTTTCAGGCATGCAATCAAATCTCAGCCCACTTGGTGATACCAGTACCACTTTAGGTATGCATTAATATGCAGCAATGTTTCTTTTCTGTTACTGAAAAGGCTCATTGAAGCCTTGATGAAGGGCCATTTTTATATTGCAGGCAAATATACTAAATTATTACGTAGACTGTACCTTAGAATCATGTATTTGCTTTTTCCTCATTGTCTATAAAGGCAAATGGGTTGACAGATAGTCAGGGCTGAAATGGACTTTTTTTCTTCATATGTGCATTTTACATACCCGTACCCATGCCAGCGGCAGCACGCTTGACTGCTGCACCATCTTTTGCTCCCGTGCTGTTTCTCAGGTTTCCACTGTCACCTGCTAGGGTGTCCTGACACTTCCAGAAGGGCAGCTGGCATGGTCATTTGATGAACCTTGGTCTGTGGGGATATTGGCTCCTATCTTCCATCCAGCATCATACTGCAACACTTCACTGTTGTTTTTATTGTTTTGGGACATGCAGATTCACAGGAACACCATGCTGTTTGGCCAACTTTTTACTCTTTTTGCTGTAATTTTCACACTATTAATTTATTTAAAGTTAAATGAAAATTTTCTTAATATTTGAAAAAAAAATTATTCCTCCGTATACAACAAATAGGATTAGTTGGTTTTTTTTAACAAATGCAGTTGTTCAGCAGATAATTTTTTGGTTTTCTTTTTTAACTTGACATTCATCTGGTTTAATTAAGAAAAAAATACCTATTTTAAGATTACAGAAGTATTAGAGAGAGTAAAGCAGGAAACAGAAGAGAAAGGAAGCAGTATGACTGATGGTGGTAAGTATGCTTTTGCCTCAAACCAAACACATGTTTTCTCAGTGACAGGTAGATAATTTGTCTTGTATTAAAGAAAAATAAAACAAGACCAGAATGAGTGACTACTCTAAAATATCAGTATTAAAATTTTAAAAGGTGTCTAAGAAAATCAGGAGTCTAAACCTCTTTGAAAAGGTTACGTAAGTTTGCAGAAGGTAGAGATTCCAGGATTTACCCCCTTTGTTAAATTATTTGTAAAAGTCTAAAAAAATAGGGTTTGTGTCTGCTTTTAATAGTTATCAACTCACTGGAAGAAATTCACACGTTACAGGTTCTAGCCCTTTTTATTCTGAAATAGTTACTGGCAGTGGCTGTTGGATTCTCTGACTAAGGCTAGCTGGAGTCAGTGAGAAAATTCATTTTAGTGTTTTGATATTTGGACTTTCTTAATATGTAAAACTACATACCTATATAAATTAGTCTGTCTCAGACTTGGGATTTGGTTGTTTGAGATTTTTCCTGATAAATGCATTCTGCTGCAAATGTATAAGAAGTATGAATGCAGAAATAAATTGATGCCAGTTACAGTAGGGCTAAATATGCAAGCTGTATCCATATTTAACTGTAACTGTTACAGCTAATTTATTTAAGTAGTTGTAAGCGTTATTGTATAAGGAAATATTGTGCACCCTTTCTTTACTTTGAAGGAGCTACTCACTTGCCTTGCAACACCTCTTCTGTATTATGGAATGGCCAAAGGTCAGGATAAAATCTAGAGCCCAGAATTACAAGGAGCAATATGATGCAGCAGCAGCATCCCTAGGGTGACATTAGTGGGAAGTGAGGGATTAGAAACAAAGTATGGAGCACAAAACATTTTCATAGCTTTTCACAGGTGAGATGTCCTGCTGTTGAAGGTATTTTCATTTCTCTACTCGAGTCAGGTATCGGGATGAGGCTTTCAGCTGAGCAAAACACATCATTGACAAACCTATCTGAATGTTGATGCACATCTTTATGCAGATCTTAGATGTCAAGAAGACAGCAAAATTGTCATCGCCTATTTAAAGTGTCTTGCATATTAAAAATGATGTATCAATACAATCATGTCTTTAGAGTGGAACGCCCTTTTGTTCATTCAACTCTTCAATTTTAAGGAGTGAATTACAGAAAATAATGCTTTTGTGTTAAGTAGCTGACGTGGAGTTGCACTGTTTATAATTTTTTTTTTTTTTTACAGCTCCTCTAGTGAAGATTAAACAGGCCTTAACAAAACTGAAGCAAGAAACCATTCAGATGGACATACAAATTGGTGTAATGGAACACACATTACTCCAGTCAAAGCTGAAAGAGAAATCCAATATGACTAGAGATATGCATGCAACAATGATTCCAGAAGCCACAGTAGATGCCTACTAAAATTGTTTTGAGCTGACTTGGTTTGCCCAAAATACAGTGTTCTACCATTTGCTTTTCAGTTTAGAGGCTTCCTTTGGGGGCAGGGAGGGGGGCTTTCTTTTTTTTCTTTTTTGTTTTTAGCAAGTTGCTTGTCATGCACTTTTAAGAAGTAACATGCACACTTTGGACTCAACATGGAGCCATGATTACTTTTGTGCTGTAAAGATTTACTGCAGATCCCCTCCAAATACACTAATAAATTCTTATTAATGAACATGTCTCTGCTTCATTGGAGAATGTTATGTAGTGTGAAAGTCTACCGAATGATACTGGCAGCCTGTAATACTGATATTCTACAGTGCTGAAAGAAAACTGCTTGCAAAGGATTTGAAGGGCATTTAAAATGTGTATTATTGCCATTTACATACATATAGTATAAAGTGTTTAACTGATGATATTGAAAGAATACAGTGTTATCCTTTCACAAAGGCTGGGTCAAAATTGCTATCAGCTGCAAGTAAAAGTAAATTGTTGCTTCGAATTGGAAGTTTATGAATTAAGCAACAAACTAATATTTCAATAATATTGGCATGCTCCTAGGGCAGCCCTACACAAATGTGTGAATATATCTTGGGGGGGGGGAGGGGGAGTGGTCCTCTAGACAGACTGTTATGGATGTTTTTTGTAATTATTTTTATTTTTATATTGCCTCTAGCAGAAGCAATGATAACGAAATCTATATAAGACCAAAGAATGTGGAAAGTACTGTTTAGAAATTACTGTTGGCTTTCTAATTTTTTTCTATGTGTCATCACTGTTTCAGAGTCACTTTATATTAGCATTGGGTCAAATGCTGCTTTCATTTATATTATGTAGTAGATCTCCATGGACATCCTTTGGATTATTCTTACTTTCTGTTCTTGTGTCAGAACACCTAATTTTGATCTCTGTTAAGGAAAAATGTTGTCAAATCAAGTTGTGTAATAGGGAATAAGAAGAAAAAAGTAGGAGGAAGGAGTCAGAAATGTAATGACAACAGGGAGCTCCCTTTGTCTTGGTAAATGTGTAGGTAGGGAGTAATTCTAGATGTTACTGGTAGTGAAGGAATGTGGAACAAAGAAATAACCTTATTAAAGTTCTAATACATCCTTTTGGTTACAATTGTTCATAAGCCATGGACAACATTGGTACAATTCCAGCAATACTAAAGTCCTCCCCTAACTTCCATAGGCAATTCCATTAATCTTGCAATTAATTTTTCTCACTTGAAGTTAAGCAGTATTTTGCAGAATCAGTGGATCAGTTCTGTGTCTGAAAGTCAAGACCCTTGACACAGTCAGTACCATGAACCAGTTTGTTAACTTTGTTGTGCTTCAGTATTTTGTTTGCCAAAAAGAAAAAGCCCTAAACCCATCAGATTTTAGTAAGTGAAAAGCTCTATGTAAATGCCAACTATTAAAATTTACCTGTGCAAGCAACTGCTGAAAATGTCTATGAATCATGCTGGAAATCAGTTTCCAACTTCATTTGCTGCCTACCTCTATCCTCCCACATTCAGCTTAAATTAGAAAAGTTATTATTCATGTTCCCTTTGTTAGGTGGTGTTGCTACTGCGTATTTACTTTAACAGTGGGTTTACTTCAACTTAAGATAAAGCAGTCCCTTCTCCATTGCCTACAAAGCAGCTCACTGATGCTTTTGGATTGCAAATGTTGTGCTGCATAAATGCTGTTTATGTAAATACTTTCAAAAAACCCTCCTCCTTCATGCTAATATAACAAACACAATTAATCAAAAACCTTCCCTTAAGAATCAAGCCTCTTATTCTATTAGAAATTAATCTGTTGAGACAAGCATGGCCAAAACCCCTCTAATGTGGTAGGAAAAAATCTCCAGAAGAAAAGCTAGCTTCCTTTATGACAAAGTAATTCTAAAATAGTGTGCTAATTATAGGTCATTAATCTACAATATTTTTCATGGTACTGTCTGAAACGGCATTAGTTTAAGCAGGACACTTCTGTTGTTCTCTGAAGAGTGATACGTGTCCCTTAATCGTAATCTGGCAAAGAATGGCGTTTGCCCATTTAGACAGTAAAGCCACTTAGCCCTGTGTTGAAAGCAGTCTTACTGATCCAGCAAGTGGCCACACCACCTTTCTTAAAAGCATGAGGAGAGCAATGAGGTCTGTCACAAGCAGCCTTTCAAGGCTGTTCTAAAAAAGCAATTATCTGTGTAATTATTCCACTGCTGGTTCAATGCAGGAATCGGAAGCCACATTGCAACTAAATCACTTGATTCACGTTACTTCATATGTTGCTCATTATCTAATGCAATGTCAGAACTAAATACCAGCAAAACGAAGGTGTCCCTAAGTTAGTAGGATGCACATAAAACTGTTTGGTGCTATAAAACAGTCCCTCTTCTTTCTGAAGAATATTTGGGGCAGAAGGACTATTCATAAGAGTTAACTTCTATATAGAGAGCTCTCTTCCAAGGTTTAACATTTTCACTCCTCTGAAATGCATCAGCATGGAGGCATGGTGTTACTGTTACATGTCATCTAGAAGCCAAAGTAGAAGCTAGCTGTAGACGGGTCCAGAAGTAGCGCAGAGGAACAAACAAGGAGTTTCATTTTCTGATCAGAGAAGCCATGTTTTTTGTCCTTGCTGTCAGGACTGTTCAGCCTCATATGTGGCCCCAGTGGGAGCTGAGACTTGGAAACGTGTGGCTGAGGAAGGCTCATCAGTAGCCAGCTCACTCTTCTGCCTGTACTCTGCAAAGCTCCAGAAAAGGAACACTACAACGTATTACTTCATAGGGTTTCCACAGCTCTGAAGTCCCTCTGAACCTCGTAATATGACTCAATGTCTTGCTTCCCCGGGCTGTCTTCGCTAGGTTAGGACATCATGGATGCAAGTGCCCTGCTAGGAACTGGAAGTAGCCTTAAGTGCTTGGTACCCTATTAGAGGTGGTGTTTACAGGCCATTTAGGATGATGGAGAGTGATGTTATATTTATTAAAGTAACACAGTAATACATGTAATATTCCAGTCCCCGTTCTCTTCTACTGTCAGCAGACAGCATGATTTGCGGAATATTATGTGCTGTGCTGGTAAAAAGTGCAAAGTAAGGGCTGGATTTTTACCTCTTAATCCAAGTCTCACACAGAGGACCTTCTGTGAAGTTAGTGGCTTAATATTGAAATTGCAAGAGTTTAATAGTGGCTTTCAATCATATGCCAAGAATTCAGCATTTTGGTAATGACATAAGTTAATCATTTGAACTTTCATCCATCAGTGCTGTGCAGGAAGGTAAACCAGAAGTTCACATGAATTTGAGAAACCACTAACTGCTACAAACAACTCGCAGATCTGGTCAAAATAGTCTTACTCTTTTCTGCTGGTGGCATTAAAGGCATTCCCCTCTTCCTCCACCCGAAAAAGAGGAACTTCCAGGAAAATTCTTTCTTGAAAAAAAAATGCCCACCTACAATTAAACATTGCCACTTTTCTGGAGTATAGTTCTGCTGCACTATGGCATACAAAAAAATAACTGTATTGCTAATTGTAAGTTACAATAAGAGCAATTCAGTCATCTCTGCATGACCTATAAAAAAGGCTGGGCATAAACGAAGAGCCTGTATGTGAACATTTCCAGCTTCTTCGCTCTTTCAATTTTGCATCCAAATTTTGCAGCCTGGGCTTCTCTCCAAGATCGACAAATGTTAATTTAAAAAAAAAAGAATAAATGAGTGTGTTGCTGTTTCTTTTCACGCTGGCTCTCAGCCCGCTCCCTGAATGTCAGTGCTGCAGCGTGCCTCCGCACGGCAGCTGCACGTGCCGGCGCACATGCGGTGTCATGACATGCCTGTCATTTGGCTGAAGCCCGCAGCAAGACGTCGGCAGCCTAACACCACGCCTGTGAATACCCTGTCCCAGTTCCTGCAGCCTCACTGCGTTCCACTTTCACACTGATGTATTAGCGTTTTAGGAAATGGCTGGGTGTTTTCCGACGAAGGCGTGAAATAAATCTTGGGAAAAGGCTGGCCTGTGACATCAGTGCCTGTGAGCTTAAGTAAACAGAGGATGTGAGTACCAGCTTTTCCACATGCACGCTGTTCATAGGTGGGGAGTTTCCGCAGGAAACTCTGAGATCGCAGAAGTTATTTTTGTCTGCCATTTCCTCTTTTCGATGTATTTCTCCCTTAAGCAAACACTGTTACCAGGGCTTCCTCAGGTATTGGCTAATACTGACTTAGCTATTGCTCCAGGGCTTGGTGTGGCTGGAAATGTCTGTCTTTCAGCCTCCTAGTAACAGCCCTACCATTTTGCCAGCAATTATTCCCAGGCAATACTGCTATGAGCAGGGCTGAGAGCTTTTTACTGAGAGTAGATAACAATTTGAATAATGCTAGTATTTCACTTGCTGGCTAGTTTCACTCTGTTCTTTTTCATTCCTGGTCTTAAGTAATTAAGAGTGGTTGTATCTCAGTACTCCGTCCCACAAGTGGCTGAGACACGCTAGTCTCTCATATGTCTTAGCTACCTGTTGTAAAAATCAGCAAAGATGAATATTTAAAGGTCAGAAGTATAGAATAATTATTTCTAATAATATTCGTCGTGATGACTCACTAATTGCCATTGTTCATTCAACATATTTTCCTGTTTCTGTGGCTTTCAAAGGATGGCAATACTTCAAATGACATCACAGTGTCATTCAGTAGTAACATGGAGAATTAAACTGTGGATTGTAAGCATCCCCTGGGCCAAAAGTTTCCCGTCCCTCCTCTAGTTTTAGGGATGAAGTTTCTCACTGTATCTTGGGAGGGGGGCTCTTGTCAGGTTTTTGAGAGCTCTCTCTATCCTTCTCTCAGCATTGCTGGTCCATGAGCCTGTTACCGCACTTCAAAGAATCCATTTGGGAAAGAATATAAGCCAGTAGTCAGACCAAGGGAGGGATACAGGTCGTTTGTGAAATTTTGCCGGCAGCTACTGCCAAAACATGGTGCAGAAGGTTTCAAGAGGTTTGACAGCATCTGTTGATCACAGTTTCCTTTGTTATAGGAAGTGCTCAAGTTCCCAGTATGATGGCAGGAGGGATTTCTGCTGAGCTTGACAAATGTTTTCACACAACAGTAAAAACAATGAAAAGTCTGTGATCTTACCAAGAGTGCCATTCACTAATCTTGTACTAATTTGCCTGGCAGCCATTTCATTACAGCTTTCTGTAGCTCAAGTAAAACATACGTGGAGTTTTTCATCATCGTCAGCTGTATCA